TGGGGGAACGCTTCAACATCACACCCGCACCACTCTCAACCCCTTATCGCAACCCCAGCGCCAACTACAAACCGGACAACAAACCTCTGTCGCCCGCAGGACTCCAAATGTACCAGCAGAAATTGGGGTGCCTGCTATTCGCCTCTGTCACCTGCCGACCCGACCTCTCGTACATCGCCAGCCAACTGGCACAGTACTCTCGCAAGCTAGTAGCTGAGAACCAGCTGGACCTGGAGCGCGCCCTGCAGTACTTTATCTCCACACCTGACATTGGGCTCTCCTACTCCACGCTGACGACCACCTCCTTCAACCTCAACGGCTACGTGGACGCAAATCATGCAGCTGACCCTGCAAATCGACGGTCCCGAACCGGCTTTGTTTTTCGCTTGGAACCAACTGGGCCAATCTCTTGGAACTCGCAGAAGCAAGAGCTGGTTGCCCTGTCATCGGCTGAAGCAGAATACATCGCCGCGACAGCAGCAGTTCGCGAAGGCCTGTACCTGCAGGAGCTGCTACAGGAGGCGAAAATTCCAACTTCGCCAACCTTTCGCCTCCACTGCGACAACCAGAGTGCCATCAGGATCGCGAACAAGCCAGGTTTCGTGAACCGCACGAAGCACATCGCACTCCGGTACTTTTTCGTCAAGGACGAAATTGACCAAGGGAAACTTGACCTCGCCTACTGCCCGACTACTGAGATGGCAGCAGACTTCCTCACCAAGCGCCTGCCACGTCAGCAGTACAAGCACTGCTCTGACCTCACCGGAGTAGTCAAGCGAGTCAGCTCCCCCTGCGCCCAGGAATGAAGGGGAGTGTTACGATATGAAATTGCATGAGTAGGCATTCCTGTATGCTGCAGGAGCCGACTCTACCGAGTACGAAGTCGAGGAGTCAGAAGAGTCGAAGCGACGCAGCAACCGTCTGACCAAGACCGATGCTGGCAGAAATATTTGAAGTGAAAAGAGCGGGAACAGGTTTGAAACGGGTTCCCGCGCCGCACGGTTTGAATTTGGTTAGAATAAGGGAATGTACCCCTTAGAGTACATGGCTAGTCTAGGTCTTTTCGTATTCCCCTGCATTCTTATATAAACCCGATGTATGCATGCTATTATCAACTCAGTCATTTACATTCACTCTGACCTGAGATTCAAACTTCCGCTGCAACACCACTCTGCGATCAACCCTGAGCGATCCTTCGCTAAGTCCCACTTGGGATTGTAACATGGTATGAGAGATACTCAGGGATTCTTCGCATCACCACTTCCTTGAAATTCGCCAAACCAAGATCTGGCGAGCGGCACACGCTCCAAGACCAAGATGGCCGGAGGATCCGGAGGCCAAGCCAATCTGACGGCTGAAGGACAAACCAACCCGGCTGCGACAAATGAGGCGACAACTACGATCGGCAGTGCCGCTCTCGAGCAACTTTTCGCTCGACTTTCAACTATGGAGAAAGAACTCCAAGATCTGCGCAAAGGCGATGCGGGAACCTCTTCCCAACCAGTTCAACCTGGACAACCGGCTGAGAAAAGCCGTGATACCGCCGCGCATACTGGGTGGGCTTCATTAAAAAACATGTTGTTTCCAGTCCGAATTGTACCCATTTGGTGTGAATTTCTGCTGATTCTCATTTTCGAGACACAGATTATTGTCACGTTTCATGTCTACGGGCGATTATTTTCGCCACGTGTCCATGCTTGTGTAGATTTCATGTGTCTGCAAAATTTACGTGCGACTGAACCAAATGTTGGGTTTTCAGGGTGTAACAAAACTAAAACCTCTAGGGCACCACGGACTTCTTTCGATGCATCAACCCTAAACACCATGCCTGTTCCCGTGATTAGGGTTGAATCCTTCCGAATTGTAACGATTTTAGGTTGTCAACCCTAAATACCTGGCCATTCCCGTGTTTAGGGTTGATGTTTCCCGAAATGTGTCCGTGTCCCTAGGGGTTTATTTTTTGTCTGCTGCGTCAAAGTGTTTCAGGGAAATCGCGTCGGACGCGTGGCGAAACTTTTTGCCTGTATCCATGAAACGTGACATTAATCTGGATGTCGCGTGTGAGAATTCGTCAAAAGTACCACTCAATGAAAATAATTACAAGTAGAAAAAACAATTTTCCAGTAATACCCACCCAGTATATACCTACCCTAAAAACAAATTGCACGACAAATTCGGTCGCGCTTGACGTGTCGGACGCAAGTGCACGCACGTGGCAGCGTGTTCAGAACGACGGTTTACAACCAGGCGCCCGACACAGTGAACACTTGAAATCTGCGTCATAAGTTGAGCACTAGAGTTAAACAACCTCAGAACCAATCGTCTCGCGACACGCGTTGACTGAATTGAGACACGTAAATCTTCTCATCTCGCGACAGTCTGATTCAGTGAACCGAAGCAAACTGTCGTACCTGTTCGCGCTCGAAACTCGCCGAACCAGCATTCCACACTGTCGGGAACGCAATGACCAATCGGTGACCCCTGCGTGATAGGGAGGTACACGTCAAACCATAAACTGCCCACCGACAAAATGTCAACCCGGAAAAACAACCATACAAGTGTTAATATAATTCAAATTAACGAGAGCGCGGAAAACAGGTTATGAAAGGTGGAGGGATCGCCTTTCGGGTTTTCAAAAAAATGAAGTGCGATATAAAAAATTCACGGAGCCAAAGCCCGTGCCGCGGTAATTCTCTCTCAATTCTCGCAGTAAGCGATGCGACACGAGTTTGTGACCAGGTCGCTACGCTATGCTTGACGATGTGACGGTGCACAGTGCACACTGTTGTTGGCGTTCAAAATTCTTGCCGAGCCCTTGGAAGTTGGAGGTTCTCGCTGTCACAGCTTGGCCCCTCTACAGACCAATCAGGAAGTGTCCAGCGCGATGACGTGTTCGGACGGGATTCTGAAAGTCAGGCAAAAAGGAGAGGAACGTCATCCTTTCCGCATCAGCCACACCAAAAACCAGAAAGGAATCGATTTCTCATGCTTGCTTCGCTGAAGCGCGTCGCATCAGCTCCTCTTCAGTTCATGTATCAGGTTTCAGACTGGTGAGTAGCGATTCAGAGCGGTGATTCTCCTGAACCGCCCCCCATTGCGCAGCATCGTACTAAACCGCAGACAGAACAAGAAGTGAACTTCTGTGACGCCTTCGTCCTCGTCTTCCCTGACACCACGCCGCTTGCCTTACCTGAGACAGACTCTTTTCTCTAAATATCCTGACAAGACAAGCACCTCTTACAGGATGGAATTGAAACATTCATGCCTCAGATTCCTGCATGAATGTCATTCAAAAGCCTGACTTTTTGTTAGGCGCGAGTTAGCGTTTAGAAGGCTGACGTAGGAGGACGATTGCTGCACGAGGATTTTGAAAGGGACATGCCATTGATGCTCATAACAAGCTCGCAGCCTTCTCAGGCGATGCTACATTACTGAAAACCATCTGAAGAGCCACCATGGCGCTGTGTTAGCATCTTATCAGAGGAGAATCTCGGCGTATGCATGTTATTGTTGCGCTTTTAAAACAGTAATCAAGGACTGCTTTCTGCGACATGGACGGTACCAGCTTACTCCCGTCAGAGAAGGTGGACATTCTGCTGGATGAGGAGAGAGGCTCAACCTGTCATAAGACTGAACCAGAGGACAGTGCTTTTGGAGCAGGCTTTAACGTCGAGACTAAGAGGCGTATCAGCCGGGAAGACGGAGAAGACGGCCTGGAACGTGAAGCCGACCTCGTCGACGGTTTAAAGGTTAATGCAGACACGTCAGAAGCACCAGGCTCCAAAGACGTCGTCGCTTCAGTCAAGGAAATGCCAAAGAAGCGGCGCAGGCCTCCAACGGTCCTTTCATATTCTCATTTTCATTTACGTGGTGTGCGACAACGTGCCTGGGGAAAATGGGCATCGGAGATTCGTGACACGGATAATATTCGCCTATGGCTCGGAACGTTTACGACGGCTGAAGAGGCGGCTTTCGCTTACGACGCAGCTTCTCTGGCTATCCGTGGAGCCGATACCCGGCTTAACTTTGAAAGAAGTCGGGCGTACGCATCGAACATGGCTGACATCAGGGAGCAATGCGGTGGAGTAGTCGGCCCGGCGTTTCGGACTGCTCTCGCGAAAGAAACGGCTCGGCTTATCGACGAAGGAGCTCTTGACGGCATCGTTGCTGACTCTCCGGGATCTTATGCTTATCTGCTAAGGTCGATCAATGTCCCAGCGTCTGTCGCTACATCTGCAGTACCGAGTCATATCTCAGAGCGTATTGATTTTTTGGCGGAAACGGCGGCACGGCGACGACAGGCCCAGATGACTGCCAGTGTTCCACGAATGGAGCCGTTTCCTGCACCCGTTGAAGCCAGGCCGACAATCCAACGACAGGCTCAGAGGACTGCTGCCATTACCACACGAATGGAGCCAGTTCCCACACCCGTTGAAGCCAGACAGACATTGCCATTGGTTCGCAGCAGCAAGGCTCCATCTGTGGCCGGGATTAAGGCCGAATCGAAGCTGGCTCAGAAGGCGCAGCATTATATTTATTGTGAGTCAGATGGTGAAAATCCCGAGAGCGAGATTGATGCTCTCTTTGCTTTACGTCGCAGCAGCAAGAGTTCTGCTTGTAACTCACATGATAATGTCTCAGGTCCACTGGGATTTGGCGACGACCATTGGTCGCAACCTTCGAGGAGCGGTTTTGAAATTGTTCAGGGGAATGCGGAAGCAGCCACTTTCAGCTTCCATGATGGTGGGGTTGGCGGTGCATTTGGAGGAATTGTCAGTGGTGGTGGTATGGATGACTGGAGCTCGTACATGGAAACGGATTCTTTCACTGCAGTTCCCACAACCGCAACTACCACGGTCACAGATTGTTTAACAGGCGAAGGGGGGAGCGCAAGCGGTACAGGACAGAATGAATCTGGGAAGAAGCTTTGTCGTTCAGGGAGCTGTACAGACATTGTCGACCATTTCTTGGCAGATGGAGATGATTGCGAGGACCCTGTTATGCTTCAGGGAAACCGACATAACCACCACTTTTCAGGAAGCGACTCAATCCGCACTGCTGACTCGCGAGACAACTCCACTGCCATTGCTCTCGTGGTCACTGCAGATGGTACCAATGCTGCTCCTTCCATTATTTCTTCTCCTGGTGCATTTTCTGACACAAGTGAAGGTCATGCAGGATATGATGATGCAGATGGGATCATTCCTGAGCTGCAAGGTCTGGCAAAGTTCCTGGAGGAGACCCCCATGTCTCCACTGCATCTTGCCTCCGGCAGTCCTGTTTCAACTGAGAGCAACCCCATCTTTGCACAAGACCCAGCACCTCTCCACCTTCCAGCTGCAGCGCTCTCAACGCAACCATCACCAGCAGCTTTTGAAGTCCCCCAAGCAGCTGTACAGTCATCTTCGCGCCCTCTTGCTACAGCTGCCGAGCCACCTGCTCGCTTGCTCTCCTACCCAAACCTTACCCGTATGCGTGCACCTCCAAGCCAATCACAGCTGCCTCACCCTCTCGCCAATGTCAGGCAGGCACAGGCGCTCATGTTTCCATCACCTGCTGCTGCCCCTGCATCTCGCACTGAACTGGGTGCACGGCTGCCTGCATCCACACCGCCTGCTATGCTTTTCCAGAGTTCCCTGATACTACCAGCCTCTGCTAATGCCTGGGGTACTGCTGCTGCCGGATCCTCTGCTCCACGCATGGCCTCATCAACTATTGCTCCTGCTTCTCAAGCTTTACCACTTCCCCCTGCATATCTCCGCATGCAGCTTCCTCCTCCTGCTCCTCCGTTGCCTTCACATCAACACCTCAGCACCTCCCCTCCTGCCTTCGCTACCAGCAACGCGTGCCAGTGCTGCTGCCATTGTCACTTCAAGCAACAGCAACTGACACCTCCACAGGGCACAGGTGTCTCGCTTCAGGGGGGAGTGCCGAGAAACAGTATGCACCAGGTGCATACACTTGCAAACACCAGCACCTTGGCTGCTGCTCCTCCTACCTCCGCAGCTCCCCTTTCCTCTGCCGCTCTTCCTGCTACAGCTGCTGCAGCGTCTGGAAGCCCTGCAAAAGCCCACCTGCTGGTCATGCCTAAGGTGGGAGTCGCGTGGAGTCTGAAGTCATGTGACAAACCACGGCACCAGCAGCCTTTGGGTCCCAAGACTTGGCAGCAACCACAGCCGCATCAACAGCCAAACCAGCCAATGGCCCACCAGCATCAGCAGCTTCAGCGACCTCAGCACGGGATGCTGCAGCTGCAACAAGGACAGCCACAGCGTGCAATGCAGCAGGAGCTGAGGCCGCAGCAGCAGCGACAAGCCCCTCTGCTGCAGGTGCCATTGCCGGCTGAGCAGGGCAATACGGCGGAACGGAAGCAGCGACAGGAGGAGGTGGTTGGTGGTGCATCTGGTGCTGCCATTTTGGGTGGCAGGTCCCCTCCTCTCCCACCTCCTCCTTGTCCGCCTCCATCTAAGTACCCCGCAGGCCCGCTACCCAAGCTCACGCCATTTCTTCTGTCGGCCATTGCCAACAGCAAGGCCAATGCTTCTGCATTGTCCCTGGTGCAGCAAACTCCCGTGACTCTACCAGCTGTCGCAAGCATGTCACTGGCACCAGCATCACTTCAGCCTGTAATGGTATCAGCACTTCCTGAGGTTGCGGCTATGCCGACACTTCATCTGAATGCCGGTGCGGCAGGGATTCTCAAGGTCGAAGAAGCACCAGCAGCATCAGCACCTGTTCAGCAAGCACCAGATTCTGCACCTCAGGATGTAGCAACAGCTGCACTTGCTCAGCAAGCACCAGTGTCCGAACCTCAGGAAGTAGCGGCACCAGCACCCGTTCAGCATGCAACAGCACCATCACCTCTCAAGCAGGCACCTAGTGGCACCTCCTAAGCAGGCAGAGGCATCATGTAAGCAGGCTGCAACAACAGCATTGCACTAGCAGGCAGAAGCATCAGCACCACTCGATCAGACAGCAGTATCTGCATCACTCAAGCAGGAACCACTTCAGCATCACTGACCTAGCAGGTAGCAACATCAATTCGCCACAAAAATCCCACATCCTCATTTCAAGGCGTACAGCAACACAAGCACCTACAGGCAGCAGACAATGCAGTGATCGCACCAGCAGTGTCGCCAGGGAGGCACCTCAGGTTCACATCAGTTAAATCACATCCCACTAGTCAGATATGACCTGTTTCGGCACCACTGTAGTCACATATATGCTAGGAGCGAAGGGATGTCCACTGTGCTGGCCAGTGTGCCTAGTCATTTTCTTTGTAGGTAGCTTGATTAGTAGGACAATATCAATGTTATCTGCTGAATCACAATCTGACCTTATTTTGCTCTGTGAAACTACTCCCCAACAGCAGTCCCATTGTCCACATCACTTTATAAAGGAAAGAGGTATTCTTCCAAGTGTAGAGGCCCACAAATGAATGCCTATCTTGAAATAAGCGTGTCATATCCCAACAGGAACGCGGACAGACTTCTGTCAGGCTCTCCAGAGCATGATTGGTGGCGAGGCAAATGAACGCCTACAGTAAATCCGCTCCGCCTTCTCCCTTCTGTGAATCCATCCCTCAGTCCCTGACCCCCCATTCCTTTCCCTGATCACCCACCTGCTCCCTGATCACCCACCTGCTCCCTGATCATTTCCCATTCCACCCGAATGTGAAATTCCAATTTCCTGCAGGAATGCCCAGCTAGGAACTCAGTGCTAGGAGGATTTATGACTTCGCAGAGCAGGATCACAAAGGAGGTTATTTATGACAACGAGCTAGACGAGTGCTGTCGGCGGAGCTGTTCGCAGGAAATGCGGGTTAGTAATTTTCTCTCTACGCTGCTAAGGTATCGTCGATTACCATTGTAACGATACTTCTGGTGTGCAGTAATGGAAGTGAACATGGACAGCCCGAATCATCTGTTGTCGGAAAAGCTAGACATATTTATCGTTGAAACGACGCGGTTAGACTATACCTAATCAAAATACGTCAGATAATGTTGTTTCTACGGCCACTACTCCTTGGACTGAGAAGAGGACAAGTGGAAAAAAAGCAGTCGGTTGCGAAGAAGCTGCAGTGGAGGACGGTGTTAAAAGAAATGCAGACGCGTTAGAAGCTCCTTTCTTAACGATTTCCGTTGGTTCTGCCAAGAATCAGGCAAGGAAAAAAAAACGGCCATCCGCAGGGGTAACCGATCATCTGCGGTTCCACTGTGTGCGACGTCGAATCGGAGGATGGGCAACAGAATTTCACGGGAATTATTTTCGCATGTGGCTTGGAACCTTCCCGACGCCCGAAGAAGCAGCGTTCGTTCATGACATCGCTTCTCTGGCCATTCTCGGCGCTGGAGCCCGGCTAACCTTTGAGTGGACCCGCAGATACGCGTCCAGAGCGGCTGACATCGAGAAGCGATGCGCTGGCACGCTTACCCGAGTTCAAAAAATTACGATTCATGAAGAGATCATGCTCATATGCAAGAGCATAATGGCAGAACTTCCTAGCCTTCCGATGTCAGCGATTCATGCCAAAATGTCTAATGCTACTACACCTGCAGGACACGGTACCATCTCCCTGCAGAAAGCTGCTGTCGCTCCTGCAAGAGGACCCACACAAGCAGCAAAGGGTGCTTCGACGGCCCTAATGAAGACTGTCCCTTCAGAACCTGTTGAGACTCGGCCGTGGGTGGATCATTTCAGCAACTGCAATGATACCACATCCGTGACAGCAATTAATGCCGAGCCACAGCTGTTCCAGGAGCCCGATCGTCTCAACCTCTGTGAGTGCTTATGTCAAATTGTAAATCTCATTCTTACAAATAGTGACAGCAGAGAGCATTGCGTCTGACTCACGTGACGCAGCGCTAGGTTCACCGGCATGTAACAACAACGACCTCTCGGGAAAGTTCAGCCAAGGTCCTCCCAGACATAGTGGAAGAAGTTCCAAGGGAAACAATTGTCTTGGCACGGGAATCGCGTTACTGTTGCACCTTGCAACATCATCAGCCCCAGCCCCAGCAACAGCAGCAGCAGAAGCAGCAGCAGCAGCAGAAGCAGCAGCCGCAGAAGCAGCAGCAGCAGCAGAGGGTGCAAACGCGCCTGCTGACAGGGCAGGAGCAACAGAAGAGCCACATCCATCCACTACTCTTCGGACTGAGAAGAGGTCACGTGGAGAAGAAGCAGTCAGTCCCAGAAGAGATGCAGCAGACGCGTTGGAAGCTCCTTTCTCAACAACTGTTGTTGGTTTCGCCAAGTATCAGGGAAAGAAACGACGGCCATCCGCAGGGATACCGGATCATCTACGGTTCTTAGGTGTGCGATGTCGGCGGGGAAAATGGCAATCAGAGCTTCGTTGCTTGAACTTGTGGCTTGGAACCTTCCCGACGCCCGAAGAAGCAGCATTCGTTCATGACATCGCTTCTCTGGCCACTCTCGGAACAAGAGCTCGCCTGAACTTTGGATGGACCAGCAGATACGCGGCCAGAACGCGTGACATTGAGAAGCGATGCGCTGGCACGCTTACCCGAGTTCAAAAATTTACTATCCATGAAGAGATCATGCTCATATGCAAGAGCATTATGGCAGAACTTCCTAACCTTCCGATGTCAGCCATTCATGCCCAAATGTCTGCAGGACGCGGTACCATCTCCATGCAGATATTGAACGTAGATTCTGTGCAGAGGCTGGGACAGGCGACAACGGGTACTTTTGGACTGACCCGAAAGCCATCATTCATTGCACCTGCAGGTCACGGTACCTTCTCCATGCGGAATTCTCCTGTAGTAGATGCTGCGAAAGGATCCGGACAGGCAGCAAAGGGTGTTACAACGACGATCCCGGCAGGACACCATGACATCTCCACGCAGAAATCTGCTGTCGATCCTGCAAGAGGATCCAGACAGGCAGCAAAGGGTGCTTCGGCGGCCCTAATGAAGACTGTCCCTTCAAAGCCTGTTGAGGCTCGGCCGTGGGTGGATCAAATCAACAACTGCAATGCTACATCATCCATTGCAGCAATCGATGCCGAGCCACAGCTGTTCCAAGAGTCCCGTCGTCTCAATCTCTGTGAGTGCCTGCCTTCATTGATAATTGAACCCACTGTGAGTCAATTTGCAGCTTTTATTCCTTCTAGTAGCAGCAGCAAGAGAGCATTGTGTTTTACTCACATGACTCAGCACTAGGTGCACCGGGATGCGACGTCAAGGACTGCTCCGGAAAGTTCAGCCGAGGTACCGGAAATGGTGGCAGAAGTTCCAGGGGAGACATTTGTCCTGGCACGGGAATCGCATTACTCTCGCACGTTGCAACAGCCGCAGCAGCAGCAGCAGCAGCAGCAGTAGAGAGGGCAAATGCACGTGCTGACAGGGAAGGAGCAACGGTGGAGCCATATCCATGCACAACCATACCTGCATCTCCTCCTGTCAGGCATCACGTGGCTCGCCACCGCATCAGCGTCACACATGCATCATCTTCGACGCTCCCATCATTCCCTCTCTCTCACCCATCTTGTAATGATGCGAATTCATCTTCACTCACGCCCATACCTGCCGAACTTCCTAAGTCTTCGTTGATTCCAGTCTCTGGTTCTGCTGCTCAAGAGTCGTTTGTTGAGAAATCATTTGCTGGCCACGCATCTGCTGGCAGTATGTCTGGTTCAGCCAGCGCTTCTTCCCTGGCTCCGCCCCTCTCACTGTCGCTGCAGCCGCCCAGCCCAGCAATCATCAACTCATTCCCTTTTGCTCTTGCCAACCCACCTTCACCACGTTCCTCCCTGCTCGTTCCATCCCTTCGTTCACATGCTCCTGCTTCAGCTTCAGTGCCGTTTGCACTCTCACCTCCTCCTCTTGGCTCCACTCCCTTGGCTTCTATTCCTGCCTTCAATCCCCCGTACCCATGTCAGTGCTGTCGCCATTGTCAGTCCAGGCAGCAGCAGCAGCAGCAGCAGGCAGCACCAACTACAAGTGGTACCGGCTACATACTGCAGGCCGACCCACCTGTCACCTGCGTGAGTAAGAACCAGAATGGCACCAGTCTCAACAATGCTGCCAGGGCCAATGTCAGCCACGCACCAGCTGTTCCACCAGCTTTTCCTGCTGAGGCATCTGCTGGAGCTCCTGGTGGGCCATCTTCAGCTGCTGCCGCATCTGGCACTCGTGCACACGGAGCCAACAGCTCTGCAGTGGTGAGCATTGAAGGGAGCGTCTGGAAGCTCAAGCCAAGTGACGCAATACAGTTCCAGCAACAGCTTTTGGGTTCCGAGACCCAGGTGCACCCACAGCAGCAGTCGACACAGTCAAGGCAGCCAATGGCCCGTCAGCTGCAGCAGCTGCCACTTCCTACTTCTCTTCCTGAGAAGCATCAGGCAAAGGGGTCGATGCAGCGAGCTCCGCTCCATCGCTTGCGACTGGAGCAGGGAAACCAGCAGAAGGAGAACTGGCGGCAGGATGTGGTTGGCGGGGCAGCAGGAGCTGCCATTCTCGGCGGTGAACCCTATCCCGCCCCTCCTCCTCCTCTGATTCCATTGCCCACGCTCCCACAAGCCCATGCTACCTCTGGACCCAATGTTCTGCTTGGTGGCTCGTTTGATGTAACGAGGCCTCTGCCAAAACTCATGCCGCTTCTCTTGTCAGCCATTGCCAATGGTAAGCCTGGTTCAACTGGTCTTGCTGCAGCACCAGCATCTGTTGAACAGAGAGTGGCCTCGCTACAACCACCTCCTCAGCACACAGCCGGCTCTACTCGTTTAACATGTTAATTATGGTAACAATTTATGTGATACCGACAGCCCCCGCGCGCATCACATCACCACCACTCGAGCGGCAGCGGTATCTGCATCACTCAAGCAGGAGTGACTTAAGCATCACTGAGCTAGCATCACTCAGTCGTTCTTTGTAGGCAGCCTGTGTAGTGGGAGAAGGTGTTAACACTATACTCTGGATCACAACCTGATTATTTTGCCCTGTAAAACTAATCCCAGCAGTCCCACTGTCCATTTCACTAAACAAAGTATATCTAATGGAAAATGTTCTGCTTAAGTGTAGAAGCCCACTAAACAAAGTCTATCTTAGAAAAACGAATTGTCATGTCCCAATTGTGACGTGGACGGACTGCTGTCAGACTCTCCAGAGCCTGACACACTCTCTTCAGAATGCAATAACGGAAAATCCGCGACAGTCTCTCTTCTGTCAGTGATCCCTGCGCCTCCTCCATGAGACCTGCTGTGTCATGGACGACATATTGCATTCCACCCAAATGTGAACTTCCAAATATCTGCTGGAATGCCCCAGCTAGCAGGAACTCAGTGGTAGGAGGATTGATGACTTCGCAGAGCAGGATCACAAAGGAGATTATTTGTGACAAGGAGCTAGTCGATCGACGGATCTGTTCGCAAGGATGCGGGTTAGTATTTTTCACGCTACGCTGCTAAGTGATCGTCGATTACCATTGTAACGATACTTCTGGTGTGCAGAAACAGAAGTGAACATGGACAGCCGGAATCAGCTGTTGTCGGAAAAGCTTGACATATTTATGGTTGAAACGACGCGGTCAGACCCAACAATACCTATCCATAATATGTCAGATAATGTTGTTCCTACGTCCACTACACGTCGAACTGAGAAGAGGTCACGTGGAGAAGAAGCAATCGGTTGCGAAGAAGATGCAGTGAATGACGATCCCATGAGAAATGCAGACGCGTTAGAAGCTCCAGGCTCAACAACTTTCGTTGGTTCTGCCAAGAATCAGGCAAAGAAACAACGGCCATCAGCAGAAGTACCCGATCATCAACGGTTCCTAGGTGTGCGACGTCGGCGGGGAGGATGGGCAGCAGTGCTTCACGGCGTGAATAGTCCTATTTGCATGTGGTTTGGAACCTTCGAGACGCCCGAAGACGCAGCGTTCGTCCATGACATCGCTGCTCTGGCCATTAACGGAGCAAGAGCCCGGCTGAACTTTGAATGGACCCGCAGATATGCGGTTCGAACGGGTAACATCGAAAAGCGATGCGTTGGCACGCTTAACCGGGTCCTTAAAAACGCTATCCGTGAAGACATCATCTTTATTAGCTATAGCATAATGGCAGAACTCCCTAACCTTCCGATGTCGGAGATTCATGCCAAAATGTCTAGTGCTGCTATACCTGCAGGACACGGTACCATCGCCATGCAGAAGTCGGCTGTGGTAGATGCTGCGAAAGGACCCAGACAAGCAGCAAAGGGCGCTCCGGCGATCCTAATGCAGTCGATTCCTGCAGAACCTGTTGAGACTCGGCCATGGTTGGATCAAGTCAACAACTGCAAGGATCCATTATCCGTGACAGCAATCAGTGCCGAGCCACAGGTGTTCCATGATTCCCATCGCTTCAATATCTGTGAGTGCTTATGTCAAATTGTAGCTTTCATTTCTTGCAGCAGCGAGAGAGCATTGCTTCTGACTCACGTGACACAGCGCTAGGTTCAGGATGCAGCAACAAGGACTGCTCGGGAAAGTCCAACCAAGGTCTTGGAAATGGTGGCAGAAGTTTAAAACGAAATGATCGTTTTGGCACGGGAATCGCATTACTTTCGCACGTTGCAACATCATTAGCCCCAGGTGCAACAGCATCAGCAGCAGCAGAGAGTGGAAATGCACGTGCTGACAGGGCAGGAGCAACAGTGGAGCCATATCCATGCACAACCGTACCTGAAGAGACGCATCTGCCTGCATCTTCTCCTGTCAGGCATCACGTGGCTCGCCATCGCTTCAGCGTCACGCATGCATCATCCTCCACACTCCCAACGTTCCCTCTGTCTCACCCGTCTTGCAACACTGCAAATGCAGCTTCGGCCACGCCCATACCTGCAGAACTTCCAAAATCTTCGCTGATTCCAGTCTCTGGTTCTGCTGCTAAAGAAGCATTTGCTGTTGAATACACTTCGGCTGAAGGCTCATCTGCTGGCCACGCATCTGCTGGCAGTATGTCTGCTCCAATCGGAGCTCCTTCCCTGGCTCCGCCCCTCCCACTGTCGCTGCAGCCACCTAGCCCAACCATCATCTCATCAGCCTTCGTTCCTGCAACTCCATCCTCACCGCGTTCCTCCCCGCTAATCCCATCCGCTCGTTCAAATACTCCTGCTTCAGCTTCTGTGCCACTCGCACTTTCACCTCCTCCTCTTGGCTCCACTCCCTTGGCGCCTCTTCCTGCCTCCACTCGCCCCAACCCTTGTCAGTGCTGTTGCCACTTTCAGCCCAAGCAGCAGCAGCAGCAGCAGGCAGCAGTCACACATGACACGTGTTATCCACTGCAGGGCGAGGCACCTCTCACCTACATGAATGGCACCAATCTCAACAGCTGCATGCTCTCCAGCAATGCTCCCAGGGCCAGTGGCAGCCACGCACCACTTATTCCACCAACTCTACCTCCTACTGCACCTGCTGGAATTCCCGGTTCCACGTTGCTATCCCTGAAAGCGGCTACGCAGAGTACTAGACATCATCCAGTGCCGCTGCCGTCTCTGCCCACGACATCGCCATCCTGTTTCTCTGCCAGGGTCAGCATGAATGCTGCTGGCGCTGTTGTTCCATGCACTGCAGATGGGGCACCTTCAGCTGCTGCCGCATCTTCAGCAGCTCGTCCAGAGGAAAACAAGAGCTCTGCAGTGGTGAGCATTGAAGGGAGCGTCTGGAGGCATAAGCAAAGCGGCGCAACACAATTCCAGCAGCAGCTTTTGGGTTTCCAGACCCAGGAGGAGCAACTGCAGCAGCAGTCACGGCAGTCAAGGCAACCAGTCGCCCGACAGCTGCAGCAACTGCCACTTCCTTCATCTCTTTCCAGGAAGCACCAGGCACAGGGGTCAACGCAGCGAGAACCATTCCACCGCTTGCTACTGGAGCGGGGAAACCAGCAAAAGGAGAACTGGCAGCAGGATGTGGTTGGTGGGGCAGCAGGAGCTGCCATTCTTGGAGGTGAACCCTATCCTGCCGCTATTCCTCCTCTGCTTCCTTGTCCCACGCTTCCACAAGGGCATAATCCCTCTGTGCCCCCTGCATTCCTTGGGAAATCCAATTCCAATTATAGAACAGGGCCACTACCAAAGCTCATGCCTTTTATACTTTCAGCCATTGCCAATGGTAAGGCCAGTGCTCCTGCAGCATCCCTGGCACAGTGCAGTGCAGTCCCCTGACTCTGTCAGCTAAAATGGCAACGGCACCAGCATCCGTTCAACAAAAGACGGCATCACCACGGCCACTTCTTCGGAGTTCTTTTCCTACTCAACAAGTAACAGCGGCAGCATTGTCTGCAATGGAGGCAGCTTATGCTTGTCAGAATGCGAAGCCAACAACTTTCCAAGAGCAGGCATTTGTTCACTTGAGCAACTCTTCGGAAAGTAGCCGCTCTGGCAGCCTTTGACGTGTTACATTTTCAGTGTATCTGGCCCTGGCAACAGCAATTATCAACCATAGAGCAATGTTGTATTGGCAGCTGGAAAATGTATTACCTATGTGTTGCTGTATGTGTAGGGTTGCTGTATTAGACACTCGCTGATTTCTTTATACGAGGTGTTTTTGTTCATTGCCTGCCAACGTTCACGAATCGTGGCCGTGAATGTCGTGGCGTGAAGCCGTACGGAATGGCATCACATCAAGTCCCAAGGGTAAATATTTGTTGGGTATTCCTGGTCAAGGGGGCGGACTTGTTTTGTGCGTATTGAAAACAAGCCCGCTTACTTTTTAAGAGACGCGTTCAGTTTGGGATGTTACTTCAGCTTTGGAACCTAGAGGCTCAAAGCGTCAGTGAGTGCCAGAATGAACCCTTCTTTGTTTTCGGCATTTTCATGTCTGCAACCCTTCGAAATTGCGTTCCTTTCTTTGGTACAGAATTTGCTCGGGCTGACCGCTGTACAGTATGACCAGAAGATTTGGAATCGAAGCTTCACAATCATCAGCGGAATGTACGGAGTTCGCTTCGGCCCGCGAAATTCAAACCGCCTATCAACATTTCGCGCCTCCAAAATATAATTCGCGCCACCCCGAGGCATTCAAATGTGGACGTTCGGGAATTTGGTCTTCACGCTTCTCCCATCCCCTCCACCTTCTTTGTCGTCACACAGTCTTCCCAACCATCCCCTCCTCTCATCACCTCCCGCCCGTGCTTGTTGCACGCTTCGCAAAGCCTCAACGCCTGTTGATGTTCCGCTGTTCAGTCTCTCATCCTCCATGTGCTCACGCTTGATCTCATTTTCCCAACGGAAGTCTCGGATCTCTCATCGCCCACCACTGCTTATACTCGAACCTCCACAGCTCGCGGCGCGCAGCACACCTTAGTAGCCTTCGACGCTTTAACTCGTCTGAACGGCGAGGCGCCATTGACGGTGCCCTCCGCCGTCATGCACGCTGCCTAGCCTCGAGCAGATAATGTATCCGCTCATAGCTTCATTCACAGCACAGCCATTAGCACAGCCCTTAGCGCAGCCCTTAGCACGGCCACTAGAACAGCGACTAGCACAACCAGTAGCACAGCTAGCACAGAGATACGAAGGGTCCGTGCAACCGGAATGGGGACGAAAGCCTCTTAGCGTAAACTGTAGCTCGCCCGACTCGGTTCTGCAGACTAGCTGCTTCGACCGCACCGCGGGTTCTGACTCGGACGACAGCTTATCCCCCTCTGTTTTCGAGGCGCCTAAAAAACACACCGCGGGTTCTGACTCGAACGACACCCCGTCACCCTCCATTTTCACTGAAGATCTTCCTATGAGGTTCGCTACGTGATTACATCTTCTCTACATCATAATCGGTGCTGGATTAACGTTTTAGGCTTGTGATCCGTACTGTACACGCTACACCTCCTTGTCCACAACTGACTACTTTTATGTGCTGTAGCGTTTCCCCTCATCTCAATACCTATGCCGCTTCGTTCCCCTCCCCCTGCATTCCTTGGCTGACTAATTCCTTCCCACCCTCTCCCCTTTTTCTCCCGCTCCCTCCCTTCCCACGGTGCACGCTCCATTCCCCGCAACCCATCCTTTCCCCCCTCTCCCTGCTGCAGCCACCGGTATTCCCGAGGCGACTCCCCCGGTTCAGGGCCCACCACGCCTGGCAACAGTACCTCCAAAATTCACGCGCTTCTATCGGCCAGTCGATCAGGCTCGGGATCCAGCCGAACCTCGGGCTCGTTCCCGAAGCGCCACGTCAGCACGGGGGCTGCGGGTAACCGGAACAGCGCGCCGCTCCAAGCCGCGGATGCCGGCGTCAACGCGGACGGCGTGCGCGTTCAGCTGTTCCCCGATGGAGGCTGCGCGGGTGGGCGCGCAGAAGGTTGCGCGGATGGGGGAGCGGAAGGTTGGACGGACTTTTCTGCGTGGGAGAGTGGAAACGGGAGAGGGTTCAGTGGAGAGGGGGCTAAGGAGAATGGAAGGGGCGTAAGCGCGGAACTGAAGCCGCCCTCCCCGCGCCTTCACGCGCAGCATTCTCCGCGCCCCCGGCCGCCTTCCCCCCGCTCCGCGTCTCCACGCTCTGCGCAGCAAAACTCCCTGCAGATCGGCGTGCGCCGTCTCCCCTCCCCAGTCGTCGGCCCCCCCGCGCTCCGCGAGGATCCCCGCGGGCGCGCGCGGAGCCTCGGCGTGGTTGCGGGTGGCGGCGGGGTTGGCGGAAACGGCGCGAGCACTCTCTCGCCCCGTCCACGTGGCAGCAGCTTATTAGCTCCGCCGCTTGACGTCAGCACGCTCAAGCCCGGCGGGTTTCAAACGAATGGGTTGTCGTCGCCGCGTCAGATTGACGGCAGCGGGTATGTAACGCCACCTCAGCATGACGTCATCGACTGGGACAGCGCGAGTGGCGGAAGCGGCGGGATGCCCTTCGGAGAAGAGAATCTGGTCGCAGCAGCGGCGGCGGCGGCGGCGACGGTTGCGGCGGCCAATGCTGGGGACGACATTCCTTCTAACGCGTATTACGGTACTAATGGCGCCGCTTCTGCTTCTGCTGCTGCGCCCATCGGATACGTACCCGCCCCCACGACCCTGCCGGCGCGAAGGCCTAGTATCGGGGCGCGCCATAACGGATCAGTCGGCGCGTTGAAGCACGTCCAGCAACATCAACCCCACGCCTCGCACGAGCAGCAACAGCAACGGCAGCTGCGTCAGCCTCACGAGGCGCACGAGCAGCAGCAGCGAATGCATCGCTCCATTTCGCTCGGCGCTGCCGCGCTGGCAGCCGCTGATTGGCTGCGTTCCCCCGCGGGGGGACCTCGGCGCGGGAGCGGCTCCCCTTCCGCCGTGCATCCGCTCCCGCCGCCCCGCACCGCCACCATCGGCGTCACTGGCGCAGGCGCGGCAGCGGGAGACCAGCGCGCGGAAGCTCTGGGCGGAGGGGCGCGCGGACATGCGGCGGAGGAGGGGTATGACGAGGCGTTGGCGGAGGGGACGGGGGATGTTCTGCGGAGCCGCGTCCGCCGCGCTAATAACGCGGACGACAACAATGATAACGACGATGGCCCCGTTATAATGACGTGCAGGCTGTTTCCGAGGAGGAGCACGTCGCGTACGTCTCTTAACGGAGGTGGCAGTAGCGCGGACAGCGTGAGCGGAGGGAGCGTGCGTGAAGGGAAAGACGACAAGTACAGCAGGAAACCGAAACGAAGCATCTCTTGGGGGGGATGGATGAAAACAGGGGGGAGCGGAGGGGGAAAGGAAGCAGAGAAAAGGGGAGGAGGAGCAGCGAAGGCTGGAGTGGTTGGAACGTTTGGTGGAACAAGCAGCAATGGGGGTGAAAGGATTGATAATAAGCCTGACTCTCAGCAGAAATCGGCCCTCAACGGGCGCAGTGAAGAGGTTCTTAACGCGTACAAGGCCCTGACTCAGCAATCCGCCACGTGGAACCAGCTCAACGCCGGCAATGACGTCACACCTGGTCCTGCTGGCGTCACAGTACCGCCCACCCCTGCTCCCGGAGCTGCTGCTGCCGAGGCTGCTGCTCTCGCCGAGGCAAGCGCCCGAGCCTGCCGGCTAGCCTTGGCAGCGGAGTCCGAAGCAGCAGTGAGCTTCTCTCAAGCTATAAGCTTCGCAGGCTCGGTAAGCACGTCGCAGCAATGCGGGTCCCACTCTCACTCTCGCTCTCACTCTCGCAAACACTCTCCTGCTGTTAACTTCGGTTGGCCTCTGAAACATGACGAAGTGCGTCGAGAGAGCAAAAAGAAGATTCGCGCAAATAAAGAGAGGGCAGGGGATGGAATGGGGGGAGAGCGGAGGGCCGAGGAGAGAGGGAAGGGAGAATCAGGGGAAAGAGAGAAGGCAGAGGAGAGAGAGGGAGGCAGAGCATCCCAAGGGAGGGTATATCAGGACGGAGATAGAGGCAAGCAAGGGAAGCGGCAGCAACAGGAGGCACCGAAGGAGGAGGAGGAGGGGGAAGGAGCTATTGAGGTGGTGGGCGGGGAACAGCGGCAGCAGGAGCAACGGGAGCGAGTGCTTGGTGAAAGCCAGCAGGAAGACGGACAGAGAGCAGCAGAAGCAGCAAAGGGAGCAGCAGAAGCAGCAAAGCGAGCAGCAACACGTTTTTCAGCAGCAGCAGCGGTGGCAGCAGCAAAGGGAGCGCGGTTGGAAGCGGTGGAGAGCGCTGTGATGGCAGCGAGAGCGGCAGTGGAGCAGGGGGCACTTGAGGGGGCAAATGTGGCGACTCTGGTGGGGCATTACAATTCACTGCTGCGCCTGCAAGAGCAGATGGAATGGCAAGAGCAGATGGAACGACAGGAGAAGGACGAACGCCAAGAGAAGGGAGAGGTGAAGGAGAATGGAGGGGTGGAGGACAGGAGGGAGGAGGAGGGAGTTGAAGCCCCACAGCTGCAGCAGCAGATGGAGCGACCGCAGCATCAAGAGAAGAGTGACAGTAAGGCGGCGGGCCAACAGCAGCAGAGGCAGGGGCAGCAGCTGCAGGGGCAGCACAGTCAGGGGCGCGTGCGCAGTGGCGAAGAGAGAGGGCACAGTCACGCCCTGCCTCGCCGATCCCGCTCGCTCACTGTCGCCAACTCAGCATCTGCATCGTTCAAGGGACGGCCAGGATCGTCCGCACACGCAGCCGAGCAGAACCCGCTTCGCTCACTCCTCCACGCGAAACCACCGTCGCCGACAGCAGCCGCACCAGGCCACACCATCCAGCACCGCATTCAACCGGGCTCAACCGCTGCACGGTCAATGGCAGCAGGCGCGGCAGCAGCAGCAGCAGCAGCGGCAGCACAGCCAGCAGCGTCGGCGTCGGAATTATCAGCGTCTGCAGTGTCTGCCTCTCTGGGTTCCCTTGCGTCCCTCGCTCCCCCCTCGCCCCGCTCCCGACACTCCACAAGCAAAGGAGGCAGCAGTAGTCTGCACCACCACCAGCATCACCAGCAGCAGCAGCACCACCACCACCAGCACCACCACCAGCATCAGCACCACCACCAGCATCAGCAGCAGAAGCAGCAGCAGAAGGACGGACACCACACACGCAGTGTGCTGGCTAGAGTCTCTCCCATTGGTTCCTCCTCCTCCTCTTTCTCCGCACCAGGGCGTGCTGCTCTCACTGCTGCTCACGCTGCTGCTGCTGGGGCGAGAGGCCTCACCCCTACTCACTCTTCTTCTGCTTCTGCTGCTGGTGCCACTACTGCTGGTGCTGGCGTTGGTGCTGCTGCTGGTGCAGCTTCTGCTGGTGCGGGCACAGCTGGCGGTGCTGCTGGTGCTGCTGGTGCGGGGGTGCCTGCATGGAAAAGAGCAGTACTCAGGGAAGACACTTTATCCCACACTCTGGGCAGCAGCACAGCAGCACTCACAGCGCCGTCAGCTGCAGCAGCAGAAGCCGCCGCAGCAGCAGCAGCAGGTGGAGGTGAGTATGGGGCGGTGAGGGATAGCGTCACGGACGGTGAGTGGTGCATGAGTGAGTCGTCTCTCAACGCCAGTGCCACTGCCAGTGTAAGCCTTGCTGCCAGCCTGGCTTCCACCTTGGACTCGAGGCCAGGGGAGGAGGGGGGGAGTGAGTGCGCCTCTCACAGCTGCTCTGTGGGCTGCGGTGGTGAGGCACAGGGGCGTGAGGAGAGTGGGTGTGATTACGTGAGTTATGGTGGGGAGGGCAGGGGGGGTGAGGGGTGTGGAGAGGAGGTTTTGGGGGGGAGCTGGGCGGTGGGAGGTTTCAGGGAGGATGAGAGAGTGAGGAAGGAGGAGGAGGAGGAGGAGGAGGAGGAGGAGGAGGAGGAGGAGGAGGAGGAGGAGAGGAGGGAAGAGGAGCAAGAGGGGATGGAAGACGAAGAAGAGGAGGAAGAAGGTGAGGAGGAGCAGCATGACTATACGATGACGTTGGACCAACACCACACAGAAGCCATTTCTCATACCGATGTGGAAGGGTTGATTGGAGCAACCCTGAGCCCTCTCACGTATGGCATGGCGGACTTACCCATTCAGCAGCAGCAGCTGCAAGAGCAGGGAATGTTGCCTTTACCACCAGGAGCAGTGGACTACTCTACTCATTCCACCAACCCGTTTCTTGAGGTGATTAGAGAGGAGGTGGTTAAAGAGGGGGTGGAGAAATCAGATGGGTACGAGGGGGTTCACGGGGGAAATGGTCGAAGCCCTTACTCCAGCGATGGTACGACCAGCAGGAGCAGCAACATCAACAACAGCAGCAGCAGCAGCAGCAGCAGTAGCAGCATCAGCAGTGGTGGGAGTATTAGCGGCAGCAGTGGGAACAACGAGGAGTACGGGAAGATTAACAGCAACGGCAATTTGGAAAAGGGTGTTCCTGTTTTCCATACAAAGGGCTTTGGTGCATCAAGGGGCAACGCTGCAGACGGGCTCGGTGATATAGGGGCTGCTAATAGAGTGGATACAGGAGCACGACAGTCACATGACGTTGAGAAGAGTTTGGCTGGCTCAACGAGACCTCGACGGGTTTCTTTCAACCGCGTGGTGCGTGTGCGAACGTTCACTCGTGTTACTACCACGTCCGACGCGTGCGATGATTCTTAATATTTCGTTGTGACTAATTCGTGACCGAGTGTGATCTGATCGGTTTAGTGTGAAATAACACAGATGGAATATAACATATATTGTAGGCATATTGCAAGTGAAACACTTGATGAGGATAACGTGAGATGATGCTAGGGATTTGCATCAATTTGTGCCGTGATTTCCTTTCATTGTTTCATTGTGCCACATGATTTGAAGGTGACGTTTATAAATAGCGCAAGGAGGAGAATGTGTGGATGGTGTGTACTGCTGGTATCTTTTCTGTTCTCATTGTATGTTATTACCGCAGTTGGAAGTCAACAGAAGGTACTCCGTGCTGCCGTGGCGCATCGTGAATGGTGAAGCCGGAAGCTTGTCGTGGCGCAGTTGTACACTTGATGCAAAGTCAACCGCCCATTCTCAAGAGGCCCACAGGCATTCCACAGGAGCAGTGGTCGTCATTCACGGGAAACGGCCCATTCGGGACAGGCCCACGACGAAAGCCTGTTTTGCCTGTAAATCCACAGTGCGCTTCGGACAGCAGCTGTAACTTGACCAGATTTCGGGTGGTAACCCGACACTGTATAGGAGAACGAAACCCCAGTACCCCAAACAAGCCCAAAACGCCCGAGCCAGCCACGAGCTCGTGAGAGGCGCAAACTGCAACATGGGGAACGGGCGCGAAAGGGGCATCAAGTGTAGTAGTTCCCACCTGGTGGAGGCACTTCCTTTCAAATACTTATCGCGGCCTGATTGGCGGTAACCTATAATCCCCGCACTTCCCGGCGCCCACGATGCCCTTCCATCGTTCATTATTTTCCCTTGGTTGGACAAGTTCGAGAAGAGTTATTTTATGTTTTGAGAATGTCCCTACTTTATTTTTTGGTCCAATTCCAGCGCTTCGTCTCAGGTTCTTACAGCTAGCCACCAAGTTACACATGGATCGCACCTAAACATACTTTTGCATGGCTGAACTACAGCCTTTGTAATATCATAGTACAGAACATGTCTGCGGTCACCCCAACAGTTGAAGGGCGAGAAAAAACGGAGAATAGAATTCTGTGCACACACCCACCGAGCCTCGGCCAAATTCTGAAGGTCCGAGTCGCGCATGTGCGTCTCCTCCTCCCTCCCCCGAGTTGATGCTTCCATCCATCTCGTCGTGCCTGGGCATCGGCCCCGACTCGGGCCCACCCACATCACATTTCCGCCAAAACCGAGAATTTCAACAGCAGACTTTACCTGTAGCGCGTGCCAGTAGCCCTTTGCCTCGTGCATTCTTTCACTCAGCCCGAATTAGGTGCGAAGACTTCAGAAGTAGTAGTAGCTCCACCACTTACGTTCCAAACAAACCAGGCATCTTCGTAGCACATTGCACGTTGGCACCCTCGCCGCACTTCCTAACAGCCTACGAGATTCGCCGGCTTGCCATCTCAACACCTACTCCACCAACCAGAGTTTGCCTCCTCACGTCCTTGCGGTGCTGAAGACTGCTGCCGAAGATAATAAATCCTTTACCTTGGTTTGTTCTTGCCACCCAGACTTTGTTCAGAATAGGACGATTTTGCGTGATTGACACCCACTTATCCGCACCTTGCGTTGGGGCAACTTCGCCTTCGTGCAGAACTTAATAGCCTTCGACAAGAAAGACTGCAGAAAGGCGGCATAGTATTTGCAACCCCATGATAGACGAGCGACAATGAGTGCACGCAGGTCACCTTCATCGCGAATACTGCATTCGGCAGGTCACATATCCGAGCTCCTTATAATCGCCGCGCTCCTTATCGCCACAGCTACAACAGTCACCAGTACCGCACCGCCCTCGACGACGCCCAGGGATGAGGCGATCGTTACTCAGCAACGTCGCCTTTCAGTCACCCCAGAGAAACAGAACGACGCGAACGGGAAGGGCGGGATGATCCAGATAGGCGAGTCGGGTCTCGGCGAGTCGCTGAGCGCCACGTGGCATCGCAACCGCCTACACGTGCTGGACGCGCCCACGAATGGCGCCCCGACCAAGTCGGGATTCCCAGAAGTGACGTCACGTGAGTCGTCAAGTCTTGACCAGCTTGGCCCTGTTGACCATATGGAACCATCTACGGGCAATCAACTCGCAAACGATGTCTCGACGCCTGGGATCGCATCTCGTGAGCTGACACAAGGAAAGGTCGCCGGATCGAGTCCTGGTGGTGCAAACTTGGTTGCTGAGGGAGCGACAGAGGAGGAGGACGAGAGGATGGCGGTGGGGGAAACACAGGAGGAGGATCTGTGGCGGCAGCAACAAGAGCAGCGGGCGCAGGAGGAGCGGGATGCGGGGGAGGCGGGAAGCGAGCGGCTGCCCGTGCGGGACGCGTGCGTGTTTGACGCCGCGCGGGGCCAGTTCGTGCTCGTCGAACAAGCGACGCGTACAAAGTACGTACTTGGCGCGTCGCCACGGGACGACTAAAAGTCGCCTACGTTCCCCTTTTCAGTCGTTCAAAGCCTTGTTTGAAATGCGCCTTGACAAGTGTTTCAGTATCAATGATCTCTTTTTCGCCCCTATCTCCGCCACCCTCCCGCAGGGGCTTCCGCTTTACCGCCGCCGACGCGTGGCGCCCCGTAACGGGGAAGCGGCGGAGAACTGGCGACTGCCGTTTCGCTGTCGACGACACGTGCGCAATCGTGCATGCAGGTAACACGACACTTGCGAAATAACGGCGAACCGTTTCCCATTTACTCCATCACCGGTTACACGGCATATGCACCTCTTTCCCCCATCCCATCATTCTCACATTTCCACTCCTCCCGGCTCTCCTCTCTCCCTGCCCTATTCACCCCCCTCTTTCTCTGCTTCGAAAGGTGGCTGCGACGACGGGAATCTTCGCACGCGCGACGCGTGCGACTGGAACGGCGCGTCGTTCACCATCTCACACAGCGGCGCGATTAAAGCAGAGATTGCTGGGGCAACGGTAGAAGACCCCGCATGGCCCTGTGCGCCCTTCCCCCGTTGTCTCTTCTCCGCCGCCGCTTGCGCGCACACCGAGATCGCGGGGGATGTTGCGCCGCCGCCGCGGCAACACAGCCAAGCTGCGACTCTCCACGTAGCCGCAGCTACCGCGGCTGTCACGGCTTCCGCCAGTGACGCTCGCGCAGCCTCAGCCGTCTCCGCCGCCGCCGCCATTACCGCCGAGAAGCGCGCGGCGGCGTTCAGAAAGAGCGGAGGGGAGTGGAGCACGAGCGGCGCTCTCCACGCGCGGTCTCTGGGAAGCTTCTTCCCGGGCGGGGAGGAGGCTCTGGCCGCAACTCGCGGAGCGGGAAGCGGAAGCGGAAGTGGAAGAGGAGGGGGAGGAAATACATTTTCTGGCGGGGGGCAGGCATGGGTTAAGCAACACGAGGGCGTGGGGGGCGGAGAAGCGGGGAGCACGGGGAATGGCGGGAATGGAGGAATGAAGAGCGCAGTGGGCGCAGGGGACGGGATGAATCCGCGGGCGCAAGTCGGGAGCGGAATGGCGGGAATGGCTAAAGACGAAGAAGGGACGCCACAGGCGAGCCTAAGCGGGAGCGCGGGGAGTGTGGCCAACGGGGGAGCGAGTGAAAGCGAGTTCAAGCGGACAATGGGCGGGTGGGGCGGCGCTGGGGGAAGCGGAGGGGGAGGCGCAAGGGGCGGGGAGGCCTCGAGCGCGGGAGGAGGAGGGGGAGCATTCAAAAGCGGCTCGATGAACGCGGGGACGGCGGAGCTGACGAGCGGATTAGGCTTCCCCAGCAACGGCCAGACTCCGGGATTCAAATCTGCGGGAAACGGCCAGACCAATCAGCTGACGAGCGGAACAGGCTTCCCCAGCAACGGCCAAACGTCGGGGTTCAAATCCGCGGGTCCCGGCAGCGGGAACGGCCAGACCAATCAGCCGCATCCACGTCAGCAGCAGCAGCAGCAGCCAGGTCAGCAGTTGGTATACAGCAGGCAGCAAGCTCCGGCGGGAGGCAACCAGATGAAAACGCGACTGCCGGGCACGGGCGGTGGGAGCAGGAGCGGCGGCGGCAGCACCGGTGGAGGGGGAGGGTCGAGGCCCAATCCCGTGTTTTCCGGGCGCAATGGCTTCAAGGGCCGCGACGGAAGGCCGATCCCCGCGCCTCCAGCCCCTTCCTATGATCCCAGCGACCCGCTAACCCCTACCCCCAACCCAACTCCGAATCCCAGACCAATTCCGACCCCCAACCCAACTCCGACCCCCGACCCTTACCCCGATCCTGACCCCAGGCCTGATCCCGGACCTCTTCCGGAATATCCGGATGATCCTCAGCCGAACCCCGCGAGCCCAGCGTATTTCAGCGTGACGCGGTTCGGCGCGCAGACGAACGGATGGGGGGACGCGTCGGGGCCTTTCAGGCGCGCGTTCGCCGCGGCGTGCGGGTACGGCGCGCGGACGAGGCAGCGAGCCATGGTGCACGTGCCGGGGAACGCGGTTTTCCGGATATTCCCGATGGAGATTCAAGGGCCGTGCGGCGCTGGACTGATCGTTCGGGTGAGTCTTCCCGTTGACTGTTTTTTTTTTTTTTTTTTTTTTTTTTTTTTGTGTGGGAATTAAAATTCACGGCCACTGGGAAGTGGAGAGGAAGAATCAAAACTGAAAGAGGCAAACTTTCCCACTTCTTTTCCCCCACGGCGCAGATCGATGGGGCGATTCAGGCGTTTTTCAACACGGCGGCGTATCCGGAACCCGAGAGTAGCAAGACATGGGCGATGCTTGGATTCGACGGAATCGATAACCTCGTCGTCGCGGGGAGGGGCTATCTGGATGGCGCAGGGCGCGCGTGGTGGGGCAAGGGCAAACGTCCGATGCTAATGCATTTCTCGGATTGCCGAAATTTGCTTGTATCGGGGATCACTTACAGGTCAGTGTGTGCTGCTTTTATTTGTGTTTTGCATGTTCAATGCTCACATGCTTCCTCGAATGGTCCTTTATTGATATATGCATTGGGATACAACGATATGGAAGACTGGTGGGTATAAGCATATGCTTCCTTGTCTCACAGCATTTGAATCTGTTTATCCATAACTCCGGAGTCCCCCAAGTCCTTTCTTCTTTCCCCAGCTTCCCCTTTACCAGAGTGGCAACGATACTATGGTGAAAATATTGTGCATTGCATAATACACGCTTATAATAGTGCATGGCGCATGCACTGTATTAGTACCTCCATCACTGCATATCACTCAGTGTCTCCCTAACACAATGCATATCTCTGCATCATCAGCAAATTACTATCCTTTGCATATTCAGTGCACGGCTTGTGCACTATGTGATTGTGAATGTATTCTGTGTGGCAATTATGCCCATCGCTTACGCACAGCATATCGATAAAGTTCATGAGGTTGAGTGTCAATGCGTTGCCTATACTATGTTATTGGTGCATATCTCATGCACTCTGGTTTTTATGTGCACATCTTGTGCACCCTTCATCCTGGCTCAAACCTCATGAGCCTGTATGTTCCTTTTCCTGTCCTCGCTTATGCGTTGTATTGGTGCATATCTCATGCACTCTGGCTTTGTGTGCACATCTTGTGCACCCTTCCTGTAGCTCAAATCTCATGAGCTGGTGTGTGCTTCTCCCTGTTCTTGTGTTGGCTGTTTCTCCTGTTTCTGCTTGTGGTGTTCCTGTTGGTGCTGCCATTTCTGCTGTTGCTGCTGTTGCTGGCTCTGGTGTTCTTGGAAGGGATGCTGTGTGTGCTGCTATGGCATAGGATGGCATGACGACATGATGGCATGACATGATGGCATGACGACATGATGGCATGATGGCACGATGACATGAATGGCATGATGGCCTGATGGCATGACGATACAATGGCATGATGGCATGATTGTATGACGACATGATTTCACGATTGCATGATGGCATCGTGACATGATGGCTTGATGTTATGATGACATAATGACATGATGGATGGCATGATGTCATCATGACGTGATGGCATGATGGCATGACGGCATGGTGTCACGATGACATGTCATGATGACATGATGGCATGGTGAGGGATACTGCATGCTCCTGTGCTTGTATGCGTCTGCATGTGTCTGCCTGTACCTCTCTCCCGCTGCTTCGCCACATGCATCTCCATTACAATCACAGGAATCCTGGCAAGATCCACTTGAAGGTGAAGGCAAGCACGGGAGTGATGATCCGGGGCGTGCGTACCCTAGCCCCTTGGAACAGCCCCAACACGGACAGCATCAGCATCAGCTCTTCCTCTAACGTGGTCGTCAAGGACTCGAGACTCGAATCAGGTATTTTTTGGCGCAGTGATTTTGGAGTTGAACTCCTCAAGATCCAGATGGGGTGCGCACCCTGGCTCCATGGAACAGCCCCAACACGGACAGCATCAGCATCAGCTCTTCCTCAAACGTGGTTGTTAAAGACTCGAGACTGGAATCAGGTGATTATATGTGCTGTGCGAGTGCTTGTATGTTTGATTCAATGTTGAAAATTCTGAAAAAACAACGTCATTGTCAAAGAGTGTAGACTGGAATCAGGTGATCATATTTGAAGTGCGAATCCCCCCCTCTTACCTCTCTCCTCCCCCTCTTATTCTTGCCCGAACCCCTCCGCTCATACCTCCTGCTTCAGGCGATGATGGCGTGGCCATAGTGGGCATGACTCGCAACGTGCTTGTACAGAATATCACATGCATCAACGGCCATGGCATCAGGTGAGGGAAAATAGCATTCACTTTGGAAAAGCACACATAAAGAAGACAAAATGGGTGCAGAAGGAAACCCAGGAACTTGATTCCCGATGTTTTTGTTGTTGTAAACATCATGTGGGCCACCTCTTCATTCTTTCAATCTCTCTCCCGACTCTTCCAACCCGCATCCTCCCAACTACTCATCCTCTCAGCATTGGAAGCTTGGGAGCAGAAGGGGCGTTGGGTTGCATCCAGGGTATTACAATCCGCGACGTGACATTCCGGGGCTCTAACAACGGCCTGCGCATCAAGACGTACCAAGGCGGCGTGGGACTGGTGTCGAATGTTTCGTACGAGAACGTGCAAATGACGGATGTTACATATCCCATCGTCATAAACCAGGTGCGTTTAACAAATTATATCCAACATGGATGCACTACAAGAGCCTTTGCATTGCAAATGCTACACCGTTTCACAAATCTCTTAAAACCAGGGTGCACATTCAACGCGGTTCGGCTTGAGATGTTGGGAAGGGGGTTTGGAGAAAAACAGTGATTGGCTCACGAGGGGCGACAAAAAAATGATTCCGCTAGAGCTTCGGGCATTTCGTAGGTGGCGGGAGGGGGTGAAATGGCGGGAGTGGGTGAAACCGAATGGCGGGAGGGATGAAACAGATTGGCGGGAGGGGGGGGAAACGAAATTGCGGGGGAGGGGGGAAACAAAATTGCGGGGGAGGGGGGAAACGAATTTCGACGGGGAGGGGGAAATGAAATTGCGGGGGCGTGGGGAAACGAAATTGCGGGGGAGGGGGGAAACGAATTTCGACTTGAAGGGGTTGAAAGCACACCTCGTAACCCACTCAGTCAAGGGATAACCTTTGATGCACATTCAGCTGAATGTGCACCCCGGTTTTAACCATTGTATTCTTGTCTGCACACCCACCTATTGATATTGTGCTTTCTTCAACCCCTCCCCTATTCAGTTCTACTGTGATACCAAGAACGTGGATGCCTCAAGATGTGTGCCACAACAAAACGCTGTTGCCATACAAGACATCTCCTACAACAAAATCAGAGCATCTTGTAACGGAACTGATGGTATTACCGTCGGCTGCAGCACTACAGTTCCCTGCCGAGACATTACCCTCACAAATGTCCGCATAGTACCTTCAGATCCCAGCAAACCCCTGACTCCGTCATACACCAACGCGTATGGGAGTTCGGGGGGGAATGTGTTCCCTCAACCGGTTGCCCCGTTGTACTCACTGAGGGCAGGATTACCAGGTCCGGCTGGGAGGCTGTCGTTTTCTTCAGTGGCTTCACAGTGTCATTCTGAAGTTTGGACCAGATACCAGCAAGACCTGAAGCAGCAGAGGTCGGTTCGAGTAGGGGGTATTAGGAACTCGAGGGGATTGAGGCAAGACTAACAATAGGTGATTAGGCAAAAAAAACTTTGTGTAAGACATTCTGCCGTAAGTACATATTGACGTTTCACGAGCAGTCAGTGAAGCTGATAGTCTTGCATGCTCAAATGTACCAGTACTGTATTTACCCGGGTATTAGACCCCCAAAATATATAGCCCCCCCGAGTCTAATGCCAATGCCACTTTCGTAACAGACCCTTTTTTTGCAACAAATCCATATTAGACCCCCCTAACTGTATACACTACGATTTTGCGTGAGATTGTAGGAAGTGTAAGGAAAATTCCTTTTCCTTACTTCGCGTCCCTGCTTACCGCGTACATGCCCGTTCCCGCCATCGGCACCCATCCGTGAACGTTACCCGCTCGCGACATTCGCCTCGACCACGACTCCCGCCACTATTCACGATGCGACCCAACCTCACGGTTCGGTTGGTAACCCGCGCTCCGGACCTCCGCCTCGACAATTCCCAACCTCGGCGCTAGGCCCGTAGCGCACCCCAATTTCCCGCATTACCGTTACCACGCTAGCTTCGCTATATAACTTCGCTCATGCTTTTCGCTCAACTGTATTGATTGCTTCGATAGTGCAATTCTCACTCGCTCGTTCAATTGCACTCGTAACACTTGATATTCAGAGCCTACGATCTCCTCTCGGGCCGCACCCACACCTTCGCTTCCCCACTATCTCAATTTTGTGGGGGGTAGACGTCTCTCAGCGAACAAGCACCGCCGCTCGAAGTGCTCTCTCGTAAGCACGCACGGCCACGACAGAGGCTCCCGCTGAGTTTGCCCGAAACCCCCGCCATGGCCGAAATTAATCTTGCGACATTGACGCAGGAGCAGCTCGACCGTCTCGTGCGCCAACTCGAAGATTCGGCACTCGAAATCGCGACACTCACGGCGGAACGTGACTCCGCCCGCCAGCAATCAACGGTGAATGTACCAGCTCCATCACAAGCACCCGCAAATGCACCTGCGCAATCAGAAGAACCGATCGTCATCTCATCAGGCACACCGACGCAAAACGACAGCGTGGGACAGCGCTCAGGCGCAGCCAGTGATGGCGCCGCTCAATCGATGCCTGGCATGGAGAGAAATCGGGCCGCGCCAAGCCCGCGTGGGCCTCGCGAAGCTCGTCGGCACGTGGAGTTTGCAGCAACAAGTGGCAGCCACGACATCATGGCACCAATGCCACTCAAGCCGCAGCGCCTGCCCTGTTTCGATCCGAGCCAACGTGGAGGTCCGACGGTTCAGTCGTGGGTCTTCACGATGAACGTTTTCTTCGACGCGAATTACGTCGAGTCGGACGCAGCGAAGATTCGCTACGCTGTTTCGCTGCTGAGGGGCCCCGCCATGGACTGGTGGCGAGTCATCGTGACGTCGCCACGCGCCTACGAGCCACCGTCGCATGAGGAAGGGCCCACGGGTCCAGCCATCACCTGGAGTTCATTATGCGAAACAGCCCAATACAGCACGTGGGATGCGTGGTGCGCAGGGCTTCGGACGCGCTTCGAGCCGATCGCGGCTTCTATTTCGGCGCGTCAGAGACTGCGTACTTGGTGGCAGCTCGGGTCGGTTCAAGACTACACGAGTGGTTTTCTCGCATTATGCGAGCAAGTCGGCTACATGCACGAAGCGGAGCGGGTGGACCGTTACGTTGGAGGGCTGAAGCCGGACATCTCGCACGAAATCATGCTAAGCAAACTCTCGAATTTCAACGAGATTCTCGTGCTCGCCGAGAAAATCGATATCTTACGCCGTCCGAGACCGGGGTCCTATTACGGACATCGCCCTCGGGGACCGATCGAGCACGCCACTGTACATGCCGTTGCGACAAATGCAGCTGCCGCGCCGTTTAAGGGGCGCTGCTTTGCTTGCAATAGGCCGGGCCATCGCAAGAGTGAGTGCCCAGAGGAGCTGAGGCGTCGCGGAGCAGAGCAGGGGAGGGAGTCTCCAAGGCAGGGAAACGCCAGCAGTCAGTAGGAATCGGTCCAACTACTGACGAGACTGCCTGCTCGCCCAACCTCACCGACCCTCACCGAGTCACAGTACCGATTCATGCTATCGATCGGGCTCGGACGAATAAGGAGGGTACAACGACGTGTTGCCCAGTACTGATCCACGGGAAAATACAGGGAGCAGCAGTGAAGATTTTTATAGACGGAGGAGCAAGTCACAGTTTAGTTAATACCGCGACCGCCCGGAAGCTGCAACTGGCACTTAGTCGGTGTTTACCGGAAATAGACGCACGCTTAGTGGACGGAACGCCGCTGGCCATACGGGAGAAGGTGAAGAGAGTAAAGGTCCGCTGCGGGGGGAACTTTGGGTTTGCACAGGAAATGCTCGCGACGACATTGGATGGGCACGACATTTTACTGGGACGTGATTGGCTGCGACGGTATAATCCGCGAATCGACTGGACGACGTGTAGCTGCACTGTGCGAAGTAGCGATAACTGGGTCATACTACCTCGCTGGCAGTCGCCCGAGTCTTCAACGGTCCACGTCAACGCCATCACGATGAAACGGGCTGTCGCCGCTGGAGCTGACGTGTACGCAGTGGATATAGCATTGGTAGAAGAAGCAGAGCAGCCGAGCGATTTTCAGAAACTGTTGGCAGCAGTACCGCCCGAACTACAGGCACTGTTGTAACGGTACTCGGGGATTTTTCCGGACGATTTACCAGAGGGACTGCCACCTCAGCGGGCACACGACCATCGAATAGAGTTAGAACCGGGGGCACAGCCAACTGTACAGCGACAATTCCGACTAACACAGCCAGAGCTCGATGAACTGAGGAAGCAGTTAGATTACCTGTTAGAGAAAAAAATCATCCGACCGAGTTCGTCACCGTTCGCCGCACCGATACTGTTCACACCGAAAAAAGACGGGGGTTTTCGCATGTGTATCGACTACAGAGCACTGAACAGGGTAACAGTCAAATTGCGATACCCCATTCCCCGCGCCGACGAACTGATAGATCAACTGCGAACAGCACGGGTCTTTTCGAAAATTGACTTACGCGGAGGTTACCACTAGATTCGGGTCGAACCATCGGACTGCGTAAAAACAACATTTAGAACTAGGTATGGGTCATTCGAGTACACCGTGATGCCATTCGGGCTGACCAACACACCGGCGACTTTTCAGATGACCATGAACGAGGCGTTTAGGCCGCTCTTAGATAAATGCGTGATCGTTTACCTCGATGACATCCTAGTTTACAGTCGCGATAAGCAGCAGCACTTAGCAGATCTGGAAGCAGTATTTAAAGTCTTAGACGAGCACAGACTACTGACCAAGGGTTCCAAGTGCGAGTTCTTCCAGGATAGGTTAGAGTTTTTGGGGCACGTTATTTCGGAGGCTGGAGTTGAGATCGACCCAAAAAAACTGGACACGGTAAAAGCATGGCACCCCCCGACGAACATCACGGAGCTGCAGAGCTTTTTAGGGTTCGTTAATTATGTGCGTCGGTTCGTCCCCGACATGGCACAGTTAACGGCCCCGCTGACGGATTTACTGCGGAAGGGGGTCGCTTTTACGTGGGGGGAGAAAGAGCATGCTGCCTTCTCTGCCCTGAAAAATGTTCTCTGTTCACCGCCCGTTCTGCGCATCGCCGACCCACACCGCCCATTCGAAGTAGTTACAGACGCAAGCGACATCGCCATTGGAGCCGTACTGCTACAGGATTTCGGCAACGGTTTACAGCCCGTCGCATACGAGTCACGAAAACTGCATCCGCCCGAAAAAAATTACCCGATACACGACCGCGAAATGCTCGCGATCGTGCATGCATTCAAGGTCTGGCGCTGTTACTTGACCGGCAAAGACGTGACAGTACGGACAGACCACAGATCCCTACAGTACCTCCGCGCACAGCCCCACCTCAACCCACGACAGATCCGCTGGCTCGATTTCCTCGAGTCAAACTTCCACTACACGGTCACCTATAAAAAGGTAGCATCGAACATTGCCGACGC